ATAATGTTTTCAACTTCATGTTACGTTAGTCAAATTAGATTATTCAGTTATGGTGTGCCAGCTGATGCCCAAACTCTATATATATATATATATATAATATATATATATATATATATATATATATATATATATATATATATATATATATATATAATATATATATATATATAAAACCACCCAGGGAAGTACTACCGTCCTCCCAAGTGAGTGTAAAACGGAAACCTGTAAGTGTTTTACATGATGGTAGGATTGCTGGTGTCATTTTTATGTCACATAAACATGCAAGATTTCAGGTACATCTTGCTACTTCTACTTACACTTAGGTCACATACATGTACAAACATTATATATATATATATATATATATATATATATATATATTTATATATATATATATATATATATATATATATATATATATATATATATATATAATTTATTTATTTTTTTATTTTTTTATTATCACACTGGCCGATTCCCACCAAGGCAGGGTGGCCCGAAAGAGAAAAACTTTCACCATCATTCACTCCATCACTGTCTTGCCAGAAGGGTGCTTTACACTACAGTTTTTAAACTGCAACATTAACACCCCTCCTTCAGAGTGCAGGCACTGTACTTCCCATCTCCAGGACTCAAGTCCGGCCTGCCGGTTTCTCTGAACCCCTTCATAAATGTTACTTTGCTCACACTCCAACAGCACGTCAAGTATTAAAAACCATTCGTCTCCATTCACTCCTATCAAACACGCTCACGCACGCCTGCTGAAGTCCAAGCCCCTCGCACACAAAACCTCCTTTAACCCCCTCCCTCCAACCTTTCTAGGCCGACCCCTACCCCGCCTTCCTTCCACTACAGACTGATACACTCTTGAAGTCATTCTGTTTCGCTCCATTCTCTCTACATGTCCGAACCACCTCAACAACCCTTTCCTCAGCCCTCTGGACAACAGTTTTGGTAATCCCGCACCTCCTCCTAACTTCCAAACTACGAATTCTCTGCATTATATTCACACCACACATTGCCCTCAGACATGACATCTCCACTGCCTCCAGCCTTTTCCTCGCTGCAACATTCATCACCCATGCTTCACACCCATATAAGAGTGTTGGTAAAACTATACTCTCATACATTCCCCTCTTTACCTCCAAGGACAAAGTTCTTTGTCTCCATAGACTAGTCCTAAGTGCACCACTCACCCTTTTCCCCTCATCAATTCTATGATTCACCTCATCCTTCATAGACCCATCCGCTGACACGTCCACTCCCAAATATCTGAATACATTCACCTCCTCCATACTCTCTCCCTCCAATCTGATATCCAATCATTCATCACCTAATATTTTTGTTATCCTCATAACCTTACTCTTTCCTGTATTCACTTTTAATTTTCTTCTTTTGCACACCCTACCAAATTCATCCACCAATCTCTGCAACTTCTCTTCAGAATCTCCCAAGAGCACAGTGTCATCAGCAAAGAGCAACTGTGACAACTCCCACTTTAGTGTGTGATTCTTTATCTTTTAACTCCACGCCTCTTGCCAAGACCCTCGCATTTACTTCTCTTACAACCCCATCTATAAATATATTAAACAACCACGGTGACATCACACATCCTTGTCTAAGGCCTACTTTTACTGGGAAATAATTTCCCTCTTTCCTACATACTCTAACTTGAGCCTCACTATCCTCGTAAAAACTCTTCACTGCTTTCAGTAACCTACCTCCTACACCATACACCTGCAACATCTGCCACATTGCCCCCCTATCCACCCTGTCATACGCCTTTTCCAAATCCATAAATGCCACAAAGACCTCTTTAGCCTTATCTAAATACTGTTCACTTATATGTTTCACTGTAAACACCTGGTCCACACACCCCTACCTTTCCTAAAGCCTCCTTGTTCATCTGCTATCCTATTCTCAGTCTTACTTTTAATTCTTTCAATAATAACTCTACCATACACTTTACCAGGTATACTCAACAGACTTATCCCCCTATAATTTTTGCACTCTCTTTTGTCCCCTTTGCCTTTATACAAAGGAACTATGCATGCTCTCTGCCAATCCCTAGGTACCTTACCCTCTTCCATACATTTATTAAATAATTTCACCAACCACTCCAAAACTATATCCCCACCTGCTTTTAACATTTCTATCTTTATCCCATCAATCCCGGCTGCCTTACCCCCTTTCATTTTACCTACTGCCTCACGAACTTCCCCCACACTCACAACTGGCTCTTCCTCACTCCTACAAGATGTTAATTCCTCCTTGCCCTATACACGAAATCACAGCTTCCCTATCTTCATCAACATTTAACAATTCCTCAAAATATTCCCTCCATCTTCCCAATACCTCTAACTCTCCATTTAATAACTCTCCTCTCCTATTTTTAACTGACAAATCCATTTGTTCTCTAGGCTTCCTTAACTTGTTAATCTCACTCCAAAACTTTTTCTTATTTTCAACAAAATTTGTTGATAACATCTCACCCACTCTCTCATTTGCTCTCTTTTTACATTGCTTCACCACTCTCTTAACCTCTCTTTTTCTCCATATACTCTTCCCTCCTTGCATATCCAATTCTACTTATATATATATATATATATATTATATATATATATATATAATGTGTTGTGTGTGTGTGTGTGTATATATAATGTCGTGCCGAATATGTAAAACTGGCCAATTAGCAAGAACTCATTTAAAATTAAGTCCTTTCTGAAAATTTCTCTTATACGTTTAAAGATATATCTTTTTCATTAATGTTAATTTAAAAAAAATAATTTTGCTCCAAAAGAATCTTAGAAAACTTACCTAACCTTATAACAAGAGCAATTTATTTTAACCTAACCCAACCAAATATATTTTAAATACGTTTACAATAATTTAGTACTAAACAAACACAATCAAACATATTTTTTTCGTTAGGTTCAGAATGATTTTGGCGAAATTATTGCATACACAAATTTTCACTTGTCCTATATGGCAAGATGAGCGTTGCTATTTAAGCCAAGATCGCAAGTTCTGCCTATTCGGCACGACATTATATATATATATATATATATATATATATATATATATATATATATATATATATATGTATATTTGTTGTGTGTATGTATATTCAAATCGCGAACAAGCGATACAGTATGCAAAAGAACGACGGTGGGAGTTGAATGATAGCTCTAGGCTTTTCGTGTTGCAATCAACACATCAAGAGCTTGCAGTGTTGCAGAAAAGAGGTCCAAGCATTCTAGCTTGGACCAGCACCACTTTTCTGCAACATTACAAGCTCCTGATGTGTTGATTCAACACAAAATGCCTAGAGCCATCATTCAGTAAACAGGTGACATCACAATATGCAAAACAACCACTGTGAAAAGATAGTGAACTTCCAAGAGCTGTCGTGATTTCTAACATCAAGGAAGTGAAAATAATAATAGAATATCAGAAGGCTTATAAGGCAGAGTTATCACCTCGCATACGAACTTACACTCAACCTAGCGTGATGTATTATACGAGGTCGGATGTAAGGTCGTATGTCAGCGGATATCTCAGCCTTATAAGGCTTCTCATATTCTATTATTTTTTTTTCACTTCCTTGATAATGATAGAAATCATGACAGCTCTTGGGAGTTGACTTGTTTTGTCACAGTAGTTGTTTTGCGTGTGCGGACACACACACACACACACACACACACACACACACACACACACACACACACACACACACACACACACAGGAGGCCACTTTATTAGGTACACACTTTTAGTACCGGGTAGAGCATCCCTTTGCCCCAGAATAGCCTGAGTTCTTCGTTGCATGGATTCAAGAAGGTGTTGGAAACATTCCTTAGAAATCCTGTTCCATTTTGACACGATAGCATCACACAGTTGCTGCAGATTTGTCGGCTTCGCATCTCATGTTGTAACACGTCATTGTTTAAGCTGTCGCCTTGTCATCCTGAAATAGTCTGGCCATTCTCCTCTCACTTCTTTCTTAACAAGGCTTTTTCACCCACAGAACTGCCGCTCACTGTATGTTTTGTGTTATTCACACCATTCTGTGTAAGCTCTAGAGACTATTGTGCATGAAAATCCCAGGATATCAGTATGAGATACGCAGACTACCCCGTCTGGCACCAACAATCACTCAACGGTCGAAATCATTTGGATCACATTTCTCTCTCATTTTGATATTCGGGCTGAACAGAAACTGAACCTTCAGGCTATTTTTGCATGCTTTTAGGCATTGAGGTGCTGCCACGTGATTGGTGATTAGATATTTGAATTAACGAGCAAGTGTACAGGGCTAGTAACCCTTCTATATGAATTACCAAACGTAATACGAAGAAAAACTTTAGTCTCTCCTTTTTCAAGCAGTCTCCCTCGGTGGGAGATTCCTGGTGTGTTGATATATATTTATTATATATTATATATATATTATATATATATATTAATATTATATATTAAATAAACTTAGTAGCATAATTATAATATATATGTAATGATGATATAGAGTATATAAATATCAATACATGCGCTGCCAGGATTCGAAACCATATGTACTGGCCTGCCTCATGTAAGCAGAACACATGACGCTTTAAACCATGAGGCAGGCCAGTACAACATGGGTTCGAATTCTTGGCTAGCGCAGTGTTGTTATTGATCAATACCACTCGTTCGTGGTTACAATAATATATAAATATTGCTCGTGAGGCTAGTACACCAAACAGGGATGAGAATGAAATTAGCTTAGAAGCTCCCACACCTCCGTATGCCCTCGGATGGTGGCCCAACAGCTAGCTGTGTGCTGGCTGCACCATTCTTGTAGGGTTGGGTGGTCCTGTGGTTTAAAGCGTCATGTTGTTCTCGCTTACCATGAGGCAGGCCAGTACAACATGGGTTCGAATCCTTGGCTAGCGCAGTGTTGTCATTGATCAATACCACTCGTTCGTGGTTACAATATATATATATAATTGTATGTGATATTGCAGGTGGTGTTCGCGTTGAATCACACTCTCTCGCAACAAGAGATACTGCGTGAGGGAGAGGGTCATCTGACGTACACCACCGACCACCTCATCACACACTACAACTGTGGTGATCTGGACGCTGTTATCTTCTCTCAAGACACCACACAGGTATGTAGCAGCTGCCATCACCACACAGGTATGCAGCAGCTGCCATCAGCACACACCTTCTGTCTTGTGTGTACATTGTATGTTACTAAACACGCCGGTACTCTCATGTGTGTATATTGTGTTAGTACACATTGTGCACTCGTATGTGTGCATTGTTACCACACTCACCTGTACTTGTGTGTACATTGTGCGTTACCATACACGCCTGTACGCTCTCGTGAGTATTATTACCACACACCTGTAGGCTCATGCGTGCATTGTGTTCGCCACATGTATTCTTATGTGTCCATTGTATGTTCACCACGTACTTGTACCATTAGTTACACCCTTCTCCCCACTAGATATACCCTTCTCCCCACTATGTATATCCTTGATTCCCCACTAGGTATATACCCTTGGTCCCCCTGTCTTCCCCCACACTGCAGCGTGCAGTCTCGCTGCATCAATATTTCTCACCTACTTGACAATAGGCTTCAGCGGGCTCAGGCAAGCCTGGTGCGCTTTCCTCACCCAAGTGTTAAAAACCTCGTTGCTTTTAAATATTTTTAGCATCTGCTCACTGCATTTTTTCCCCATGCACTGAGTATAAGTGATGCGTGGTAACTGGCGGATTATGTATATTTATTCTTGGTTACTGCTGTTGCTTCATTTACTAAAGAAATGTTGCCAGAATTCAAGAGACAAGTTTCGGAGGGGTGCTATACGGCGTCAGCTGTCACCGGCCCTATAATCTCTCAACAAGTAGTTTTAGGACGAGGTTTTACTGGGGGAGAGTTTCGCTCTATGTAGAGCTTACATCTCATATGATGCTTTACACAGAGTGGAAGGTTGTCCGAATATAAGCTTGTTGTGCATCTATTTTCACACTTATCTGCAAACTTGTCATTTCAGTCAGTAATTGACAAGGCAAACTGGAAGACAGCGGAGTGTGAGACACAAGTGGTAGTGTTGTCTACTGTTGTTGTCAGGTGTGCACTGGTGCAATACCCACTTGTTGTGGTGTGTGCATTGGTGCACCCTTAGCACCTGTCGCGAGATGTGCATTGGGGGAAACATGAGCACATTAAACACCATGCGTGCACATCTGCCACTGTCTGCTTACCGTATAACTACAAATTAACCTTGCTTACAGAGCTATATTCTGTTATTCAATCTTCACCCGATTACTTAGGCATTTAGGAAGCCTTCTTGAGGATATATCATTGCGAGTTCTTAATCTATTCAGCCTAGTAGAATTTTGTTGTATTATTGATTTCCAGACTTAAAGATGCATTGATGTTTGTGTGGAAGTTCAACCATATTTATTACGCTAGGAAACCATACCACGGGCGGGATTTGAACCCGCGGTCAGAGAGTCTCAAAACTCCAGACCGTCGCGTTAGCACTGGACCAGCTAGCCACAATAAGATTCGTCCAACTAGGTATATTTCTACCTAGTTGGACGAATCTTATTGTGGATAGCTGATCCAGTAGCTAACGCGACGGTCTGGAGTTCTGAGACTCTCTGACCGCGGGTTCAAATCCCGCCCGTGGTATGGTTTGTTTGCAATCGTGTCATTACGATTTCGTGAGTCTTATTACGCTAGGCTTCAATGCTAATTTTTTTTGTTCATCTAAACTGGCTGAATACTTTGCCGCCTCATGTTAAACATTTTGCTAATACCAGTGACCATTTTATAAACATTATGAATCTAATGAGTAGTTAAACATTGCTTTACTAGCTAAATGAGTTGACAGCAAACTCACAATAGACGAATCCTAAGTCCTTTCAATTAGTTCAGGATCATTAGCAAGCTCCAAGGTGATAATTATCAGCCTAGCATCATTATCAAGTCACAACTGTAATTATCCAGAAACGCAGACTAGTTTTATCCCCAGTTTGAGATAATAGTGTAACAAACTCTCAGGTAAGGTCATTGAGGCAAGAGCCTTACGTGTGAGTTGGATCTGCCAAGCATGGGCCAGTAGGCTCACCGCAATAATGTAAATGGTTTAGAAAACCGAAAAGTTGAAGAATGCAATCTTTATTGAGGAAACGTTTCACCAATCATTGGCTTCTTCAGTTCAATACAGAGAAGAACGGAGAAAGAGGAGTTTGAGGCAATAAGTCCCTCAGTGTGGAGTCGATGTGTTCAGTCCAGGCTGACGCACTGATTACCTCAAACTCCTCATCTTTCTCTGCTCTTCTCTGTACTGGACTGAAGAAACCACTGGCTGGCGAAACATTTCTTCCATTAAGTGTCCCAGATGTGGCATAAGTGTCTCATTGTTTAAGCTCACTCCAGTGTTCCTTCGTTCTTGTGTGTGTGTGTGTGTGTGTGTGTGTGTGTGTGTGTGTGTGTGTGTGTGTGTGTGTGTGTGTGTGTGTGTGTGTGTGTGGGTGCTTGGTCATTCAGCGCAAGACGTGATGGAGGCTTGATCCTCCGTCTGTTGAGCGCGAGATATACACGTTTCCTATTTGTACTCACCTATATGAATGGTAGGAGGGGGGTTAGAGCAGAGCTGACGTTGGACTGTCTCCAGCAGGTCCCTCACTTGGGTAACGCCTCGTTGCCGCCGCTAGAGGCCGCTACAGCTACCCACATAGATGAGTACTTCAGGGAGGAACTCATCTACAGGAGGAACAAGAGGATGGGTCGCCGGGTGGTGGAGATACTCCGAGCCAATCCTGACCAGAGCTTCTTCTTTGCCTTCGGCGCCGGTAAGTAGGACGATTCTGGTTGTTTAGAGTAAACTGCTCACGTCTGGATTGTGCTGCTGGGAGATGTGGTGTGCCACTTGCCCAATTGTATCCACACAGTTGTAAACACCTGGTGTTACTCGGCTAGTTGTATCCACACAGTTGTAAACACCTGGTGTTACTCGCCTAGTTGTGAAAATTAGACATATGCAACATTTGCGTATCTTTACATTAAAGATGCCTGTGTGTGTCTAATTTTCATCTTATCGGTAGTTTATACCATTCATGTACAACTTGCCTAGTTGTATCCACGCAGTTGTAAACACCTTGTGTTACTCGCTTAGTTCCAGGAGTGGGTATGGGTAGGTGTTAGCTAACCTTGCCTAGCGTACAAAGCATCATGAACCTATATAATGCAAGGTGAAAATTACAGGCTTTCAAACGGCAAGATTTTTTTTAGCGCCATGAAACGAAAAAGAATGGCTGAACATGGTAAGAATATATCACCACCTAGGAACCATCCTGGTCTAGAAACAGAGGTGGTGGAATCTCCAGAGCCAGGCATTAAAACTAACAGAAAAGCTTCTCAGCACAACGACAACAAACATTATAACATCATTCGTCTTGGCTAACATTCAAGGTCTTAAGCTGAGTGACAACACAATAACGTTCTTCAGTTGCCTGCGTCTAATGCGATGTTCGCAGACTTTACAGAAATCAACGGTATAGGCTACTTATGGATACCTGGGTACAAGCTACTCAGATGAGACCTGAAAAACAAACAAGGGAGACTTGGTCTTTGTTGGGGTCGCTCATATGTACAGTGTTACTTAAAACCAGTAATGATGTAGTCTAAGTTTTGGTGGCTAAAACTTAAGACAGTTATTGTACTTGTCCATAAACCATAAGATGCAACTTCCCAGCAGTTCAAAGATCAGACTTTGAATATCGAGTTATGTCTGAGAACCATTAAACCCAGCCCCAGATATTCTGTTGCTTGGTGACTTCTATTAAAGTCACCTATATTGGAAGTATGTAGCAGACTGTAATAGCAGACTCCCACTAGCTAGTCTGGATGAATAGTCTTAAGTACTAAGTACTTAACTACTAAGACTCTATAACGAATTCGCCTAATGCCAGCAGACAGCCGAACTGACCGGACTAGAAAATACTCTAGATCCTATAGTCACGAATAATGATCTGGTACGAAACATAATGGCGTGGAAGACCGTAAACTCGTACCACAACCTAATAGAAGTTCAGACCTGCGCACACACTGCTGAGCAACAAAACGGACTCGGGTAATAAGTATGTTTAACATATTTAAATTTATCAAAAACATCAGTAGGGAGCTAATGAATCGTAAGCTTACTGCCATGTACTGGGAAGATAATGTGCTAAGTGTGGACCTGAACCAGTATTTTGAGAGAATGAACTCAGTGGCACTAGAAGTATGCTCCAAAACAGGAAAGGAAGGGCTACGCCCTCTATAAATGAAGACGGATAAAGAGCTGCACAAAGGCAAGAGACTTGTGATAATAGCAAGAAGGTATTAACACGTGCCTTAAATACTTTATGGTAAAAGCCAGGAAACAGTCATCCCACTGTCATTAAAATTACTTATAATAATAATAAGCTTATTTCTTTGTAAAGGTTACAATGTGTAATTACAGTTTTGATTTGCTAAGTACAAAGATAGCCACTATCATGCCGAGGCAAATTAGTCGCTAAAACTAGACTGATAACACCAACGTTATTTATAGTAGTAGTAATAGAAGCAGTAGTAGTGGAATCGTTGTCGTCGTCGTCGTCGTCGAGCCTTATGTAAGGTATAATGACGCCCCCAGGATGCCACCCACAACATTGGATTAACACCCAGATAACTACTTACTGCTAACTGAACAGGGGAAGCAGGTGTAAAAAAAATGTCCAGCGTTTTCTACCCATGCCAGGAATCGAACCACGGACACACAGTATGTGAGCCGAGTGCGCTACCAACCGTATTATGAGAGGAGATTCATAAGAGTCGACTGTAAATGCACGGTTTCGTGGAGCACGAACGCATGCACGCACACCATATGATTTTAATGGGAAAGTCAAGCGAAGGTTCCGTTACTTTCTTGTCAAGTCAGACATGATCAGTCATTCTTCCCTGTACGAAGCCTTTTATTTCTCCCACTCAGTCAACCTGTCGAGCTTTGTGCTCACAACATGTCGACTTCAGTCTACCTGTGGAGCCTTGTACTCACAACGTGTTGGCTTCAGTCTGCCTGTCGAGCATTGTACTTATTGTCGACTTAGGAAACACTGCTGAATAAGCTGCTTCCGAAAATTGTAACAAGTACGTCAACAGTACATTTAATAGCTAATATGTATATTTAATAGCTATAAATGCTAACTACAGTTAGGTTGACCCTAGATAGGTTGAGTGTTAAGAACGTCGAATGTGTTAAGAACGTCGAGTGTATTAAGAACGTCGAGTGTATTAAGAACGTCGAGTGTATTAAGAACGTCGAGTGTATTAAGAACGTCGAGTGTATTAAGAACGTCGAGTGTATTAAGAACGTCGAGTGTATTAAGAACGTAGAGTGTATTAACAAAAAGGCACAATACCCTGACTGGAACAATACACAAATGGTCCAGATCGGACCGAAACGTCGTCAAAAGCTTCCCTCTCGTTTGTGCGGGTTATTTCTGTATACCTAAACTCTAGGAAGCCTTAGGTCAGGAAATTGAATTTTTGCTTGAAATGCGTTATTGATCCGTAAGAAATGAAGAATCTATTTTTTTTTTTTTAAGAAAATGACTTATTAATCGCTGTAACCAAAAACAAAAGAAGGCTTGGTCATCTCACCCAGCTCACCCGTGGCCTCATCACTGCCCAGCCACTCATCCATCATCCTGGGTATAAGTGGGCAGGGATGGCAGCAGATAGCGGCTCGTATATATATTGTACTTGTCTCCCCCCAGATAAGACCACCACATTCTCACCCGGTACACACCTTCAACCACCTCTTCCTCTCTTTTGTTCATTTTCTTTCCAACTAAGAATTTTGCACTTTTGGTTTAATACGTTTAGCTGTAGCAGCACTGTAGTGAGGGACGAGTTCAGAGAACATCTTTGTAATGCGTGACTGTAACGTCTCACATCCGCCCCATCTCCCTTGCACTTGTTTTTAAGGTGATGCGCTTCTCCGTGCATCGTAACATTAAGTTTATTTAGGTATAAGTACATATACAGTTACACTGCACGTCTGACAGTGTTTACAGTGCAAGAACGATGTTTACAATGCATAGACAATTTTTACAATGTTTACAATGCGTGGATAATGTATACAAAGCATGAACAATGTTTACAATGCATGGAAAATGTTTACATTGCGATGACAATGTTCAAATTGCATGGACAATGTTACAATGTATGAATAACGTTTACAACGCATGGTCAGTATTTACAATGTTTACACTGCTTGTGTTAATAATGATGGTCACTGGCGGCCTTGAAGTATATTACGTCCGTTGTTTAGTCTGCCTATAATGTACCTCTGTCTAGTTTTGACTGAATGGTAGTCACTCCATGCCCTTTCTGTGAGTGGTAGTCACTCCATACACTTTCTGTGAGTGGTAGTCACTCCATACACTTTCTGTGAGTGGTAGTCACTCCATAGCCTTTCTGTGAGTGGTAGTCACTCCATGCCTTGTGAGTGGTAGTCACTCCATACCCTTTCTGTGAGTGGTAGTCACTCCATGCCTTGTGAGTGGTAGTCACTCCATACCCTTTGTGAGTGGTAGTCACCCCAAAGCCACTCACAAGAAGGGTATGAAGTGACTACCACTCACAGGAAGAGTATAGACTACATAATAAAACTATCAAGTTGAAGAGAGTGATCTTGGTTCTGGTGTTATGTAACCCACTTGGAAGTAAACTCCAGTAGTTTATCATCTTATTGTGACCACTTAGGCATTGTTGACCTCAGATCTGTACTAACCAGTCTTCTTTTGCATCCAGTTTTGGCTCCCTAGTTAGTTTTTCCAAAGGTTAATTCTATAAATTTGTCCTCTTTTAAACTGCCTGACTGATTTTGGTTGCTTGAAATGGTCGTGATAGCATTTATCAGTAGTATTGCTTATGTTCGTTGCTTTTATCGTTTGTTGATTTTATCCTTGTTTTTCTTGTGTGTTGTCGATGTTGTGTTACGTTGTGTTGTGTATACATATTACATTATAGCTGTGAGCGCTGAGTAACCTACGCAGTTACGGTGCTCTGTAAATGTCGCAGTTGCTTATCTATCTTAAACTGGGCCTACTACTTCGTCAGACATTAATCCAAATCACGGTGAACTTCACCAGTGTGTCTGTAGTTAATATATTTTCGTGTCTGTGGTGAGGCTGCTTATACCGCAGCCGTTGGAGGCGCTGGAAGACAACGCAAATGTGGTATACGCGGATTTTACTAAGACACTTGATGAATGTGATTATGGAATGTTAGGTAAATGGACACATATGAGACGAATGTGACATTTTGTGGCAACGTTTCGCTCTTCAGGAGCTTTGGCAATCGAAACGTTGCCACAGTAAAATGTCCCATTAGTTGCGTCTGTGTCCATTTACCTAACATTCTGTCAGTAATTCTACCATTATTACTGAGCATGGAATGATTGCACAAGTGGGCAAATGGATTTTTAATTTTCTGGCAAGTGGAACGCCAACAGTAATAGTAAACGGAGCAAAATCCTGCATTGACAGAGTAAAAATCTGTTACCCAAGACACGGCCTTGGCGCCTTTACTGATTCTTATCCTCAAAGTGGACATAGATAAAAGCACTCGCCATAGTTGAGTATCCTCATTTGGGTTGATACCAAAGCAAGCATGAAAATCACCTCGGCAGAAGACCTGGAAAAATTGCAAGATATAAACAGTGTCTTCCAATGGGCAGTGAAGAATGACATGACCTTCAGCGGTGACAGGTCCCAACTGCTTAGATACGGAAAGAATGAAGAACTCAGAGTGACACGGAGGG